GGAACGAAGCGGAAGTCGAAGGTAAAACCTAGACGTAATGATGCTTTATAGCTTTTGCATGGCAGCCTGTTCTTATTAGCCGTTGTCAATGGGATCAGGAGGGGCATAGCATACAATATCGGACGATTGGACATAGTCCTCGAACTCAGCAATCTCCTCTTGCAAATCATCAAGACCAATCTTGTCATCCTCAATGATCAAGTTGATCTGCAACTTCTTGATACCGAAACCAACAGCAACAAGTTTAGAAGCACCCCAAACGAGACCATCCTTCTCGATGCCACGAACAGCAGCCTCCAATGCTGCCATGTCGGTCTCATCATCTATAAATCGATCAGTATTGTTATCAGCGTCAAATCAGAAACCCGACTCACCCCATGGCTTGACATCCATTGTGACGACAGACTTGGCAGCAGGCTTGGTCTTGCCCTCCTTCTTCTTCTTGTACTCGGCCAAACGCTCCTCCTTGATTCTGAGAGCCTCCGCATCTTCTTCCTCGTCATCACTTCCGAAAAGATCGACCTCATCATCATCCTCTTCCTCGGCAGCTGGGGCCTTTGCTGGGTTCAAGGTAGCCTCGGTCTTATCTGGGCCATATGAAGTGTATTCCTTGGAAGCATCACCTGGGAGGGTACCGAATTCCTCGGTCCAGGAGTTGATGTGCTTGTACCATCTAGCAGCGTGGGGGAATTTTGTGGCATCTGGGGCGGATTGCTGAGCCTTGAAGACGGCTACATCAGCTTGGCTTGGGGAGTATCTATAATCTCTAGTTAATATTTTCTTCGATCATTTTCATGGTAAATTGTTGCAATGGAAGTAGAGAAATCAGAGATGCAAAAAAGCTTGGTATATCGCCATAACGCGGTTCTTGAGGCCGCTCAGTAACACGGACCAATGTTGCTCATCATATTAGGAATTGTTCGAGGAGGGGTACTGATGCGCAAATAGACACATCGTGGATGCTGCCTCGCAGGTAGAAATGAAAACAGACAGATATCAAGATAAGAAATCAAACACATACCCAACGATGTATGAACGAGTCTCCAACCAGTTGTTGAGCACTAGGTCAAGTCAATTTCTGCGCTTTTCAAAATTCTTCGACTCGAGATTATCTATCTCTATCGTGGCGGGGAAAAGCTTACTGGTAAGACCAGCATCGTTGACAAAGTCTGTGAATCCCATTGTGAAAAATTTAAGAAGTCTTCTTTCTTGATATTAACGGTGAAGAATTTTTAATCTTTTAAGAAAGGAGGAAAACAAACAAAATTGGTGATGTTGATTGTGATGAGGAGTGGTGGGGTGAGTCAAATTTTGGGAAGAAGATGGAACTTCAAAAATGGTGCTTTCGGCTGCTTTTCCACAGTGTGAAAATTTGATTGGCTCAGGCATTGTCTGCAATCGCTTAAAGCGAAATTAAATTAGAGACAATCGAGCGATACCTAGTGGCGGGGCGGGATCAGGCTTAATTTTCTTGCCCAATGGTTGCCGTTAAAAATAAGGCACAAAATGATTCTGCTTACCTAAGCTCCCGTAGAGACACAGCTAGTGGGGGGAGATCGCGGGAAGCTTCCACGTTCCGTTCCGAATGCTCGAGACTATTCTAGATAGAATTTATAAATTCACGTACATATATATACATATATATATATGCTTTGTCTTAAGATATGTTCATTGATATTAATCTTTCTCCCTTTTTTCTTTTCCTTTTCTTTCTTTAAACCTGAAGACACTCAATCTCACGATAATGAGAAATATCAAAGTATTACGACAAATTGAGAGCTCTTCTCGCCTTTTTAGAGGAGCTCCTCTACAAGTTCGAATCGGACGACCATTGACCAAATTCCCATTACATAGCAGTAGTCATGCATTTACCTATAGAAATATCGCACCTCTTACTGCGCTTCGCACATACGCAAGTGGACGTCCACACCCTCCAGGCGGCACGCACCGCATGGATATGGGTGGCGGAGAACAAAAGTCTGCCCTAGAACAATATGGTGTCGATTTGACTGCGCGAGCAAAGGAGGGAAAACTAGATCCGGTCATTGGTAGAGATTCGGAAATTAACAGAACTATACAAGTACTATCGCGGCGAACAAAAAACAATCCGGTGTTGATCGGAAGTGCAGGAACGGGAAAGACAGCTATATTGGAGGGCTTAGCACAACGGATAGTCAGAGGCGATGTGCCAGAAAGTGTGAAAGACAAGAAAGTGATATCGCTGGATCTTGGACAACTTATTGCTGGGGCGAAGTTTCGTGGTGATTTCGAGGAACGATTGAAATCGGTCTTGAAAGAGGTGGGTATTCATTTCCATCGCGGTGGTTGCTTGCCAGTAGATATAGTCGTTTTGTTATGGTTTTCAAGTACGCACGACCAAGTGGTACACTTGAGACACATACAAGCTGTCGACATAGGCCTTATAATTAGACCTGCTTACAATGCTATATCTCGCAATACAAAATTGCACACTGTGCGAGACGTACCATCTTTTGCTTGAAATTTGTAAATGTTGAAAATTATTCTAACAACTCCTAGGTCCAAGACGCTCATGGAGGCGTGATTCTATTTGTGGATGAGTTGCACACGTTATTAGGATTAGGGAAGGCTGAAGGAAGTATTGATGCAAGTAACCTGTTGAAACCTGCACTATCTCGGGGTGAATTGCAATGTTGCGGGGCAACCACACTCAACGAGTATCGACTAATCGAGAAGGATGTCGCTCTGGCAAGACGCTTTCAGCCCATTCAAGTCTGTGAGCCCACGATTCAAGACACAATCAGCGTTCTCCGAGGGATCAAGGAAAAGTATGAGGTGCACCATGGAGTTCGCATTACAGATGGGGCTCTGGTTGCTGCTGCTACCTACAGCAATCGTTACATCACAGATCGCTTCTTGCCCGACAAAGCAATTGACCTCATGGATGAAGCTGCAAGTGGTCTGAGGCTACAGCAAGAGAGCAAGCCGGAAGATATTATGCAGCTTGACCAAAAGATCATGACGCTACAGATAGAGCTCGAGAGTCTTAGAAAGGAGACAGATATCGCCAGCAAAGAACGACGCGAAAAGCTCGAAAATGATCTGAAAGAGTGTCAAGAGGAAGCGAAATCGTTGACAGAGAAATGGGAGGCAGAGAGGTCTGAAATTGATGCTATCAAGAAGACAAAAGAGGACCTCGAGAAAGCTCGCATTGAGCTCGATCAGGCACAGCGCGAGAACAATTATGGCCGCGCTGGAGAGCTAAGATATTCCGTAATCCCATCATTAGAAGCAAAGTTGCCCAAAGATGGAGAGACAGGCCCTTCATCCGGAGGTACTTTGATCCACGATGCTGTGACTGCTGACGACATTGCGGCTGTTGTATCACGTGTCACTGGTATTCCTGTTACAAAGTTAACTTCGGGGCACGCTGAGAAGCTTATTCATATGGAAGACACTTTGAGACAGTCCGTTCGTGGTCAAGATGAGGCACTCAGATCGGTTGCAAATGCAGTCCGGATGCAACGAGCCGGCTTGAACGGCGAAAATAGACCACTTGCATCGTTTTTCTTTCTCGGTCCGACCGGCGTGGGAAAAACTGAGCTCTGCAAAAAGATGGCAAATTTTTTGTTCTCGACTGAATCAGCTATCGTTCGTTTTGATATGTCCGAATATCAAGAACGTCATACAATTAGTCGTTTGATTGGCAGTCCCGCCGGATATGTTGGATATGATGATGCTGGACAACTTACTGAAGCTGTCAGAAGAAAACCTTATGCAGTTCTTCTTTTCGACGAATTTGAAAAAGCCCATCGAGATATCTCTGCTCTCCTTTTACAAGTATTGGACGAAGGGTTTTTGACGGATAGTCAAGGCCACAAAGTTGATTTCCGCAACACTTTAATCGTCTTCACCTCCAATTTGGGCGCAGATATCCTCGTTGGCCTCAACCCCTCGCATCCATATAAAGAAGAGACAAATGGCGATATTGCACCTTCTGTCCGCAACGCTGTAATGGATGTTGTGCAACATAATTGTAAGTTTACCTAGCCTCCTATGCGACCTTTTTTTTTTCACTCATAACTAACAATTATTACAGATGCCCCTGAATTTCTCAACCGCATTGACGAATTTATAATATTCAAACGTCTTTCTAACGAGGCTCTCCGAGATATTGTCGATATCCGACTCTCAGAACTCCAAAAGAGACTAGACGATCGACGAATCACACTTGAAGTAGATCAAGAGGTGCGACAATGGCTTGCTGATAGAGGATATGATTCTAGGTTTGGTGCCCGTCCGCTCAACCGACTCATCTCCAAGGAGATCGGCAATGGACTGGCCGATAAGATCATCCGGGGAGAATTGAAGACTGGCGAAAATGCGGTAGTGAAGATTAATGCTGAAAAGAATGATTTAGCTATTGAGAGCACTGGAGCTGTGGAAGTGTAAAATATTGGGTAAAAATGGATGGTGCATGCATGATGGGTTATGAAAAATGGGTTTAGCGGCATGGTATGGCGGATCTCTGCTCTTGTTTCTAGGTATGGGCGTTCGAGGATGCATGGATATGATACCAGTAGAAGTATAATCTCAAATTCAAATACTTTATTATTGAACCTAATCTCTTCTGTTTTATGATTATCATTATATGTAGAATCAATGAGACCCCTTGTGATCCCTCTCTGCCTCGCCCTGACTCCCTCGAGGTCCTTCCTACATCAAAATAAGATGATTGTACGATATCGACAGAAAATATAAAACTATTTGCGTGTATGATATCAATGCAGTCTACAAGAATATATGATTGTATGAAATCATTACAATATTATTATAATATGGGAGTTGAGTGGGAAGCAACAACTTCGGGCTACTTAGATGAGTCAGTATATTTTAGTTTTATATTGTATTCAATGCCTACCAGCTATTTGGGAGTTCTGTAGTCATCCAAACCTTGCAGGTATTTGTATGGAAGAAGACAAGAATGATCGACTTAATATCTTATGCTCAATTCGTAACTTCTAGCCTGGTGTTGTCATGAGTATGACGGCCGTGTCTCCATTCGGCACCTCTTTCGTGGCCACAAAACCACACCTTTCATATAATCGCCGAGCTCCAGAATTTTCTGACTCTACTACAACACTGCATACAAACGCTTTGCCCTGCACCGCTGCTTCACCTCCTGCATATTTCAAGGCCGCTTCAATAAGCGCTTTCCCGACTCCTTGCCCACGAACATCTGGTAGAGTAAATACTCCGTTCATTCGATAATGGCGAATTGCTAGTTCGTTGGGTTTCTTATCACCAATCGCTTGCCATGGATTTCCAAGGACCGTCATGTCTTCTGGGCCATAAATCAATGGGCCAAGCATAGAGACAGTACCGATGATTTTAGAATTTTCAAGCGCGAAATATGTAGCTGCATGTGGATTTGCAAGACGTTTGTACCATACTTCGTCTGAGAACGCTGCTTCCGTAGAGTAATTGGATGGGAAAGCTTCAGGTGCGACTTGCAGAGATAGAAGCCTAAACTCTTTGTACTTTCCGACATAGGACCGCACAAGATCTTCCCTGGATATATGTATGATTTCGTAGGTCATTTTGACGTTTTAATGTGTGAAGTAATAAGCCTTGCTATCGTTGATAGATAGGAAGAATTGCACTGAAATAGTGGTACACTGACACCACCAAATATCAACAAAATGAGTTTCTCTTCTCGGAACCACTCTCTGGGTAACCTATTATATGATGCCAATTGGGAAAGCAGTGTTGAAGAGAAACACCAACACTTAATTATGTTATTGCGAATTTTCCCCTGCTGATGTCCTCGCGTGACTGGCCAAAAGCCTCGAGTTAAATGCTGGGAGCTGATAGTAAATAGATAAGCGCCAACAGGGGGGAAGAACACCAAAACCTGTATCGCTAAACGATAGCCAGTCATTCAGCCAGGATACATCAGAATACTACCACGAACAGGTTCCCCTCATGTTTCACAGCTCCAAAATCAGCCTTGTGCGCCTCTCGACGGCAGCATTCACAGCACAGCACAGCACAGCACAGCACAGCCTACACATATAAACTCATGAGGTTTGCCCATCATGATTTCAATCTTCATTTTCTTGCATAGTATGCATGCGAAGCCTATACAACATGGAGAAAGACGGAGTATTCGCGGACTTCGACCAACAAGTTGTATATAAAGACAGCCTCGATCGAGCGGGAGATGAAAATACCCGCAACTTTGTTGTCGAGTTTGGTAAACTCGAGGCTCAAATTGCCTTTGATCTGAACGCAGGCCAAGTAAAAAGGCTCCTAGATGAACCTTCCACGCAAGCCGAGCGCGATCGACCTCCTGTACGATGGATGTAAGTGATGGTATCAAATCTGCAAGAGTGTTTGCTAATATGCGACAGCAATATCTGGGGTCCAAACCGACAGACTGATATAATAGATGTTCTTGCACATCGGTATGGGTTTTCTCCAAGGCTTCTGGCTATCATCAAAACTCTGCCACCGAATAATCCGACCAGTAAGGATCATCGAGTCAGTTACAAAGAGAAATTGTTCGAAAAGGATGATATTGAAACGGGTAGAGCGAGTATGAATATGCCCAGAACACATACAACTCATCGTGCGCCCCCAGCAACCACGAGCCATTATACCATTGCACAGCAAATGATCAACTACCAGTCCGTTGACGTAGGAGCACGTTTCATGTGCATTGGCGCGAATTGGATGCATGATATCGATCCACCGATGAAGGAAAGAGATAACCCAACAGTTCAAAATCTATTCAGAGACAGAGCCCAGTGTAGGCTCTGGTCTTGGCTTATACTTTGCGACGATAATACAGTTATAGCTGTACATGAAGATACAGGGCCAATTAAGCCGACGAAGAAGGATCTCAAATCACTGCGCGGCAATACTCTGAGCGTTTTAGGCCAACTTTCTAAGTCGGGTCATGAGACGGCGGATCCAATATCCATGCAGTCTGTCCGACAAGTTCTGGATTTGAATACAGCGCACGCAAATAGCGGAATAGAAGGAGCAAGTAATCTTTTTTACTATCTATTTGATGATTGGCGAGCTGTCTACAAAACAGTGGCTTTTTTCAGGGGAAGTTTAAAAGAGTTGGAGAACTCTATATTCGAAGACATGACAAGAAAGTCCAACAAAGGTCCTGACATAAGAATCATTCCTCATCTTCACTTCCTTAGCAAAAGAATTCGTCAGATGCAGCATCTATACAAAGGCTACCATAACCTCATAACCAGGATTCTGGAACCCAAGAACTCTAGTACGTGGGAAGCTGGCACACCTGACGGCTCATTCATGACTCAAAGTGGGAGAAATGGGGTCAAGCTAGCTGCTTCTGCGAGTCAAAGATTCGAGAGACTCGGCGATCGCTTAAAATTATTAATTCTGAGCCAAACTTCTGAGCTTCTCGCCGAGAAAGAGGCATTGGGTACTACCGTGAGAATTCCCTTCACTGTTATTAATCGACTGCAAGTAAGCTAACACTTCTCAAGTATTTCAGCATTAATTCCCAAAAAGACTCTCAAGCTACTGCCCGCCTCAATCGCTCAGCTACCCTGCTCGCCAAACTGTCAGTGCTCTTCCTTCCCGTATCACTTATGACCTCTTATTTCTCAACCGAGCTTAGTGATATTGAAGGCAAGTATTCGCTATATGATTACTGGGTTGGGTTTGCGGTAGTGGTATCAGCATCATTCGTCTGCTTGTTCTTCTTCAGCAAGTTGTTGATGTGGGTAACAGAGACCCTGGATATATGGGCGAAGGCCTTAGGAAAGAAATCTAGGCATATCTTTGTCAGTCTTCTGAGGGGCTTTGAGATGAAAAAAAATAAGGCTAAGGTGGAAGGAACAATTAGTGCTAAAGATGATGATGATGTGGATGATGAGTAATGATAATTTGATTTATGGACTGACTTGGGTATATGAGGTTTATTTGGGGCAAAACTTTGGGACGGGAATAATGAGATACATATGGGTTGCATTACAAAGGTTGGGTCAAACGAAAGCTACCTAGGCGTGGCTCTTTTCCTGAAAGTTTCAGTTATGCAATGGGATCATATTCTGCATACTGCATATATCATAGTTATCATTGATTTTTGCCATAATCAATATATATATTTACAAGAGATGAATAAAGAGACGAATAACTTCTATTGCTTTCAAACTTTCAGTAAGGCACAACTCCTGGAAAATCAAATGAGAGCGTCTGGCTTTGACAGAGCACAAATTGTTTGTGAAATTAACAGTATCAATACTACATGACCTCTGCAAACTTCCAAGCTAGGAAATGCTATTTCTACACCAGTTATCGGAGACTCGAAGAAAGATTTTGCTTCTCATCTATTTCGGAGCATCTCATTCTAACCTGATAGACTTTGGTGCAGAGATTTATACCAATTTCGAAATGCAATACCAATGCGATGCGTTGCACCCGTATTCATTGTCGAGAGAGCAAGTAAGCACGGTGTTGAGAAAGGAGACATCGATGCGCATCTCGATCGGGATGTTTCAAATCCGGATTGTCGTCTAGATGTGAAAATATCCGATGTTTCAGACTTCATTGTGTGAATCCCTGGCGGTGGTTTGTTTGTTCGCCTTGAAAGCTTGAATGTTGGCTTGAAATGTTGGCTTGAAGGTTGGCTTGAATTGTATCGATTATGAAGGCAGATTCAATTTTTAAAGTAAGTTCAATCTTTGAAAAGTATTCAATCTACCAATGGAATCCAATCCATGCAATGGATTCATCGATCTATGCAGTAAACTCAATCACTCAAAAGTCGCACATTTTCAGTCTGCAATTTGCAGGATTGAAGCCCCTCCTACCAACAGGTAGACAAACCAGACAACTATAGATTTAACCTCCCGACTCTCGTAAAAGAAATCCGGGACCATATTAGATGAGAACTACTAATAGTAAATACCATATTCCCAACCCACCCTACTCCAGGTATAAACACCGCAACCCCCAAAATAAAAGATCGCACAGCAGAAATGAAAACATCGACGAACCGATGGGATAAAGCACAAGTCGATAAAATAGAAATATACTGCGCCGCGTTTCTCGGCTGCAGTTTCTCCTCCACATACATTGTATGTCTACGTACCTGTTCATCTCACCTCAGATGTATATCGAGAACTTTCTCGTCTGCGTGTGCTCCCGCGATTGTTCCTTCATTTCTTTTCCCGGTGATACTCCTGGCTTGCATCTCCTGGGACATCTAGGAGGGTAATATAGAATCTAGATACACCAGGTACTTACTTATGCATCTCAATCTCTATCCGAATATGGATCTAACAACGGAGTTAAGATCCTGATATCCGTCTGTTGTTTCACTTGATCACGGAGGTAGAGAATCCATTTCTCACTGTATTCTCATGCTTGCATAACAGATGTCATATCTCACCTACGAAGTATCTTTTTATGGGTAGGCAGGAAGAGTACAGCAGGAATAGAAATCTAGAGTTTAACCGCCCACCGCTACTCTGCTGTCGGGTCTGCCAAGGTTCCCTCACATCCACTTATCATTCGATTTCACCCTAATAAGACTGTTTGATACATCAGCGCGCTGCGCTCCAGAAGAACCCAACGTCAGCACACATCTTGCATCTTCCAACTCGTCTCTACGAGTATCCAGCGGGTATTCTTTGCGAAATATCCAACCGCGCACCGCAAAGAACAGCCATGCGTAACGCGTATTCTTTTACGTCCAAATCTCACTCGTCACTCTTAGCACTTCCCATATCCGATCCAGCTCGTACGATGTGTGTCTATCGTGTGTGCTATCTATAGCAGCTTGCTGCTAAAAGCTATCTAGGAAATACTCACGCACTTCGTAAAAAGGCACCAATCACATCGCCATCCTCTCACTGCCGATCTTCAGGTTCAGCCTTGCAGATATTAGCTATCATTATCTTCTCTCTCTTCATGCAACGGACACGGCACAACGCGCCGCTCCGCACACATCGACCTGGCCAGTTCTTTGGTGCGAGGTTAGTCTCCCAAAGAGCAGAAAATTAGACTTCAAAATCGTATCCCGTCGAATGAGTTAAAGGGCGATGCTTGACGCACGAGAGATAAGCGAATTCCCGGTTTGCGTTTGCACATGGCCAATACTGGAAATACCCATCTCGTGATGATGAATTTTCAGGCCTAGCCGCCCAATCTGGAATGAAAAATCGTCGATCCCTCAGGCTTCTTCTACAACAGTCGATGGTGCTAGCAATAGCATTGCTGATGTGAGCACGACATACCGCGCCCCGAACTTCCTCTTCGGGACTTACCTCGCCTCGCCCCCGCATGCATCCTCATCCTCGCTCGCCGTTTGTCTTGTTCTCGAACAAAAAGCTTCCCTGAAATGTCAAATCATACCATGTCGGCTTACGATCCTTCAGAAAGAGATTGATTGTTTGGGGGCTCATCTCACTCACCCAACGTGGCTACTGCATGCCAACACGCCAACCTATCCGCTGTTGTCAGATCTTTTTCTTCCTTGTGCTGATCCACAACGCTGTTGGTGGCTGACGCTGACCCGGGAGTTTCATTAAGGTTATTTTTTTTTCTTAGG